GAGACAGGTTCTCGCTTGTTGCCCACGGCTAGAGTGAGTGGCGTGGCGTCAGCCTAGCTCACAGCAACCTCAAAATCCTGGGTTCAAGTGATCCTCCTGCCTCCAGCCTCCCAAGTAGTTTGGACTATAGGCATGTGCCCACCATGCCCGGCTAAGTTTTTTCATACATTATTAGTTAGCAATTAATTTATTTCTATTTAAGTATAGACAGGGTCTCCCTCTTGCTCAGGCTGGTCTCAAACTCCTGACTTTGAGCAATCCACCCAGCTCAGCCTCCCAGAGTGCTAAGATTACAGGCGTGAGCCCCCACGCCCGGCCAGATGGTTTGCTTTTTAAATTTGAAATTGGAATAATTTTATATGTTGGCAAATGATTTGTTAGAATCTCGCTTTTGAGGATTTCTTTTAAAAATGCCAGCATCTCGGCCCGCCACAGTGGCTCACTCCTGCTAACTCCTAGCCTCGAGGAGCGTCGAGGGGCGAGATTGCTCGGGAGGTCAGGAGTTCAAACCAGCCTGACAAGACCCCCATCTCTACTTAAATAGAGGAAAATTAATTGGCCAACTACTAATAATTTTTTTTTATGAAAAAAAAATAGCCAGGCATGTGGGTGAACGGGGCATGCCTGTTAGTCCCAGCTACTCGGAGGCTGAGGCAGAAGGATTGCTTGAGCCCAGGAATTGGAGGTTGCTGAGAGCTAGGGCTGACGCCACGCAACTCATCTAGCCTGGGCAACAGCGGAGTGAGACTCTGTCTCAAAAAAAAAAAAAAAAAATGCAGCATCTGTGGTTGACACTGGGACTCACACCTGTTAATCCCAGCATTTGGGAAGGTGAGGCGGAGGATTGTTGAGGCCAGGAATTGAGACCGCCTGGCAACATAGGAGCCCCAGTCTCAAAACATTTCAGCCAGGTGTGGGACACATATCTTTTAGTCCCAGTCTGCTCAGGAAGCTAGGGTGAGGATCACTGAGCCTAGGAATTTAAGGTTTCATGGAGATATGATGAGCTGCAAGCCTGGGCAACAGAGCAAGACCTTTCTCTTAAAAAAAAAAAAAAAAATAGAAAATACAGCATCTGTCTTTTCTTTAGATTTGGTGATTGGAGATTAATTAGTTAAATCTGCATTTTAAAAGTGCTATAAGTAATAGATAAAATATGGGCTTCTTCAGAGTCAGGAAACTGATTATTTAGGCTCTACCACTTCCTTTTTTGGATTTGGGCCAAGTTACTTAACAGTTGGAACTTAGTTTTCTCACCTATAGTATGGGGAATAATAAAATCACCTCCAGGGTACTGAGAGGATTGATAATCCCATCGTAAATCTATTGTCTGACTTGGTTAGAACTCGTACCCAATAAATATAACTATTATTAAAGCCTGGTGTTATTTAATCAGTGTATAATGGTGTATATTGTGACTTTAAGGATAGCCATTTATTTGATCACGTGAGGTAGGTAGTGTCCTCATCCCTTTTGGATTGAGAAGTTTATGGCACATAGAGTTTGGACTTGTCTGATAAGAATTCTGTGGAGAGAACAGGTCCTTATCCCTGTCATCATTGGTTGTACATCTAGGAACTTGTTCTTTGTCTTAACTGTCTCCTTACAACACTAGCTGTTGCTTCACACTCAGATTCCATAGTTACTTTTCTCTTTTGAAACTCTTTCAATTTTTCAACTAGTCTTTTTTTGTTTGTTTTTTTAGAGACAGGGTCTCACTCTGGTTATTAGGCCATAGTGCAGTGGATGATCACAGCTCACTGCAATTTGACTCCCAGACTCAAAATGGCCTTTCTGCCTTTGCCTTCCTGAGGTTAGCAGGCTACAGGTGTATGCTTGCCACGGTCTGAACTTTTCAATTTCTGTAGAGACAGAGTCTTCCCAAAATGTTGCTCAGGCTGTCTCAAACTTCCTAGACTCAAGCACCCTCCCACCTTTGGCCTCCCAGCGTGCTGGGGTTACAGCATGCCACAACGGAGCTTCGAATCCGTAGTAGTTCTCACTGTGAATGGGCACAAATTATAGTTGTTCCTCTTCTTTCCCTTTTTTCTTTAGGATGAATTGATGTCATGGGTCTCTTTCTTTTTTTTGAGCAGACCGTGTTTGTGCAGCTAAGTAGTCTGGCTCAGGCCTCCAGAACCTAAACTCTGCTAGTGACCTTCTCAGCCGAGTGGACACCCCACGCTCCGCCAATTGCTTATATATCCGCAATCCATTATATAAGGGTCAGCTTTCTTGTCGTCTCTTTTGAATCTTCCTTGCTTTTAATCGCGCTGAGGCATTTCGCCAAAGCTAGGATAGGCTGATTGCACACCCTCTTCTTTCTTTTTTTTGAAACATTAGTTTGCTCTGTTGCTGGACTAGAGTGCCATGAATCAGTCAGCTCCAACAGCAACCTCAAAACTCCTGGGCTCAAGCATCTCCTGCCTCAGCCTCCTGAGGTAGGTGTACTATAGATGCACGCCACTATGCCTGGCTTTGATTTTTTCTATTTTTAGTGGAGACAGGGTTTGTCTTGAACTTGCTCTTGCTCAGGCTGTCTTGAACTCCTGACCTCAGACTATCTCTTACCTCGGCCTCCCAGAATGCTGGATTACAGGCGTGGAGCCCCATACCAGCCCCTTTTCTATAACATCATTCCACCGTGACAATTTGGGATCTGTAGTGCAAGAAACATCCATGTCTCCATTATTGAGCAGTCTGATGGAGTTACGTTCCCAAAACCTATTTCATGTCAGCTCTCTTTTTATTCTCATTTCAGAAATTCTTCCAAGTGGTTTATGGATTTCTCCTGGGTAATTTCATTTGAGGATGTACTGTCATTACATTCTCTTTAAGATTTTTGAAGACATTTTGCCATCATTGGCATTATTGTGTTCCACAAATGCACTAAATTTCAGATTTTTATGGGCAAGGAGCATGTCTTATTTATCTTTATAAATCATACTTAGGCTGGTGGTGCCCGCCTGTAATCCTAGTCTCTGGGAGGCCGAGGGCGGATTGCTCAGTCAGGAGTTTCGAAACCAGGCCTGAGCAAGAGCGAGGACCCCGTCCTCTACTATAAATAGAAAGAATTAATTGGCATCTATTATATATTACAAAAATTAGCGGCATGGTGGTGGGTGCTGTAGTCCGCTACTTGGGAGTGGAGGCAGGCGAGGATGCTTGAGCCAGGAGTTTTGAGTTGCTGTGAGCTAGACTTGACGCCACGGCACTCACCTCTAGCCTGGGCCATAAAGTTGAGACTCTGTCTCAAAAAAAAAAAAAAATCCATAAACTTACTTTAATCATTTTTGTGTATCTTATAGATGTCTAAGATATTGGCAATTTAATTCCAGATTATTTTCCTCTGTAACTCGTGTCACCTCTTCCATTCCTTTTCTTCTTATGTTTTCCTGATATTCTTTGCCCAGTGGAATTTTACTGGAATTTATCTGGGAATTTTTCTACTCATTTTATTTAAGTTCTTCATAATCGGATGGTAATGTTCAAACATATTCC